AAATTTTTTTATTTTTGAGACAGAGTTTTACTCTGTAGCCTGAGGTAGATAGAGTCCTGTGACATCATAGCTCAGAGCAACCTCAAAGTCCTGGGCTTATGCAGTCCTCGTGCCTCAGTTTCCTGAGTAGCTGAGACTACAGGCACTTGCCACAACACCTGGCTACTTTTTATATTTTTAGTAGAAATGGGGTCTCGCTCTTGCTCAGGCTGGTCTCAAACTTCTGAGCTCAAGGGATCATCTACCTCAGGCTCCCCTAGTGCTGGGGCTACAGACATGAACCACTGTGCCTGACCAGTTAATGTTTTCTTAATAATGCTCAGTGGAAGTTAGTGTTTGCTGCTTAATAGCATAAGCTCCTGTTTTAACCTTAATGAAAATTTCTATGTGATTCTGGTATTACATAACTAAATTTGAGTTTCATCCTTAGATAACTATAATTCTAGAGCATGTGAAAGAAATAAAATTTTATAGAACTTAACGTATCAGAATGATGGTAATGTGTTTGCCTATAAATGTTTATTACTCTATTATAGTTCTTAATCTTGAATGATGAATTCTGAATAGTGGAGCTTTTTATTTTAAAGATAACTTCACATGGGCCCAGTTCCCCATTGTTAGAAGCAATACTACTTCTCATCCACCACATTTAATTTCTTCTACAGAAAATCCTCATTTCTATAGCCAATTATTACATTAATAACTTGGTTTTTAGTATATTTGAGATTCAAAAAGCTGTTCATTTTAAGGTTTTTAATTATCAGTAATTAATTGTAACTTAGAAAAGTGTTGTTTGCAGGTGTAGTATGAGGAGTCACAAATTGTTCTTTTTGTAAGAGTTATATACTCTGAGGTAGAACCAAATGTGTTGGCTCTCTAATCTTATTTAGGTAATGACACTAATAAATGCACAGAGAAAGATAAAACAAAGTGAATGTAAAGAAGCCACAGTAGAACCTCATTGCTGACCCCTCCCCTACACAGACCACCTCCTTACGTTGACCTAATTTCTGTAGACTGGACACGCACCACATGCACATAGCACGACAGTAGGCCAGTGCTTTATGTTGGCCAATTTGTTCAGTCTCTTGGGTTGTGACTTACAGAGGTTCTACAGTATTTTACTTTATATATAAGCTAGTTCCTAGAAAACAAAGGGTGAAGTGTAGCCTCAACATCTCAACATCTCTAATTTATTTCTATAGTGCTTGAAGTCTCTGCATGAAATACAGCCTTAACTTGAGTTAAATTTTATGATTGAAGTGCTTCCTTGGTTTGTAATGTCATGTAGCCCCTGTTATTGGCAGGTGATTGCAGAGACAGAGCCTGAGGCCATTGTTGGGGGAGCAGAGGCTTTAAATGGACTCTGTGTGATCAGGAAGACGTTTTGAGGGGCGAGTTTAGTGAGCTTATGCCCAAAAAGTAGCCAGACTTCTGGGGTCCCTTCTCATTGGAGGGGCAGCTTCAGTGTTAAGCTTAAACTTTAAGGGTTTCGGCTTTGAATTAAGGTGGAGTGCGTCTGAGTGGAGGGAGGATGGCAGGAGGTGAGGTCGATGAGAGTTTGGCAGTTCAGGTATGTTGAACTTTTACAGATTTGGCATTTATTTCATTAATTTGTTTTGAAGATTCTTAAATCCCTATATATCTAAATCTTATAAATTTGGGGGAAATGTATACATTCATGTTTACATTTCTTTCACATTTTAAGGCTTGGCTTTTCTTACAAAATGTAAAGAAAGAATTAAATATGTGTGAGTAAATAAAGATCAGTAACTATCACTTGTTTTATTTTAGTATATAGAAGTGTAAATTTATTTTACCTTAGAAAGAGAGGGAGTGAAAGAGGGAAAGAAAGTAGGGAAAGAGAGAAAGGGAGGGAGAGGGTGAGACCTAATTTCATTACTTCTGGCCAAGGCCCTTCTGAGGGAGGGTGATTGGTGGGACCACGCCTATGGTTCATCTTACAAGGGTACATGTGAATCTTTCTAAATGTAGAATATAAATGTCTTAACACAATAACTAAGAAAATGCCATGAAGGCTGTGTTAACCAGTTTGATGAAAATATTTCAGATTGTATATAGAACCAGCACACTGTACCCCATGACTGCATTAATGTATACAGCTACGATTTAATAAAAAAAAATGCAGTAGAACTTCCATAGCTGACCACCTCCCTACGTTGACCACCTTCTTAAAGTGACCTCGTTTTCATAGATCAGAGGTGCGCCACATGTGCATATCATTATAGCAGGCTCTTCCTGACATTGCCCACCTTGTGTGTTGGCCAGTTGGTAACAGTCCCTTGGGGGGAAGGGGGGGTCACCTCACAGAGGCTCTGCTGTATCTAAGCCTGGTCTCCATTTACTCAGCTTTCTATTTTCCCTTCTGATTCACTTTGAAAATATACTAATCCTATTAGAAATTTACAAAAGTTTCTGATTTTGCGGCTAAATTATCTAAAATGAAAGTATCTTTGGGTTTAGTTTGGATTATTGAAAACTGTATTGTTGGGAAATATATGTTGTAAAATCTTATTTACCAAATAAAATCAAAAGGAAAATGACCTGAGACTAAATGCAGAGAGTGACATCTGCTTCGAGTGACTCCCCCAAGGACTGCAGGGTTGTCCTTTTGTCCCGTGACTAGCAGCCAGCTGGCACCTGTCAGGTATGGCTGGAGAGCAGAAGGGAAGCCGGTCGCACTCGCTAGGTGTTCGCTAGACCTCCGTAGACCGGATGGAGGCACAGAGTGAGCTGACAGGAGGAGAGGACTGGCCCTTGCGAAGCCAAAGGCGTTGGCACCCTTCTCTTTGACGGAAGCCTACTCTTAGAGGTTAAGAAGTATGTTTTGTTTTTCTCTTTAGCGTACTTTGGTCTTCAGACCATGGGAAGGTCTGTGGCTGGTGGACAGTTTGTTGACATGCTTTCCCATGTGTGTCGTACATTTCAACCTGTCAGACTGAAGGACGGAAAATTTTTAAATTCAGTGCTTGGTAGTACTTACAATATATTGAGAAATAGAGAAAAATAAAAATGTTTATACTAAATATGTGGCTATAGTGTTTTAAGAGGGAAGAAGAAACAGTGTTATTTCTACAGACATTTGGGTGAGAATAGAGATCGCTGCTCAAAACATTTCTTACCTGTTAAATTCTATGAAAAAGCATTCTGGACTTGCCAGGAAAAATTTAATTACTGACTGTAATTTGTGCCCCCCCCCCCACTTCCAATACATGAGGAATGGCTTGATGTAGCTCTTTTGATTAAAGTGGAGAAAATCCACTGTAATCTTTAAAACTTACATTAGTTGTCATTATTAGTCTTTGTATGCCAGCCTTGATTGCTGGCAGTTATGTTGGGTGGAGAAATTGTGTTTTGCCAAACATTTAAATAACTGACTTTAGGTGGTTACAACTGGAAAAGTTTTACAGTTGTGGGTCTTCACATTCCTTACGGCCAGGGCACACCACCAGACTTTTCCTCCTCAGAGTTATAGGGCCGTGTGTACATAGCTTAGTACTTTTGGTAAATTTTGATACCCACTGGCACCAGGACACTTTTCCTACCCAAAGCCAGTTCTTCACAGGAAAAAAAAAGATACAGAATAATATATAAAGTGATTTCTTTCCATCATGGGGGCCTGTTTTGGGTTCAGTACCTAAAAATGACAGGAGTCTGACAGGTGTCTTTGCGATAGAAGCTAATTTCACAGGTTAATGGGGAGAGGAGGTGCAGGCCGGCTCAGGCCTCCATCAGATGTCATCTCAGTATGCAGAGTGAATTATGCTGATGCTTGTCAGTGGCCAGAATTACAGGGCCGTGAGTCAGTTGCCAGAATTTAATAGTTACCATATTTAATAGTGTGAAAATTATTTAATTTTAAGTCTTAAAATTACTGAAGTTACATAATTTGAGTGCATTTATGCCCATCTATGGGTTTTGTAAAGTCCTGGTAGTCTATAAACTCTGCACTTTCCTAAATTAACTGTAGGTCTTAAGAGAAAACTTTGAGGAAATAAACCTTTTTATTTTATGTATTATATATGTGCATGTATGTATACATGTGTATATGTACTATATATACAGGGTGTCCCAAAAGTTGCCCTACAAGGGAAAATGGAAACTGTTACAAAATATATCTTTACTTGCAAAATATTCATTACTAAATTTTACTATGTATTTACAAAATACTCTGCCCACCTTGGCCTCTTCTTTCTATACACACACACCATCTTCTTTCTCACTTACAGTGAACACATTCGAAGATGTCTGTTGTTATGCAAGAATTGCCTTTCAAGTGTGCTCCTTCACATGATCCAGGTTTCTAATCTTTTCCATGTGTACCGTAGCCTTCAAGTAGCCCCATAAGTAAAGTCAAGTAGGCAAAGATCCGGGCTCCTCCGTAGGGACCTAGCAACCAATCAACAGACATGGAAACTTGATTTAGGCATCATGTGGGCTGATACTATAATACAGTGGTGCCTCACCATGTTGAAAATGAGATAAAGACTCTCCATCCTCATTTAAGAGAGACGGCATTCTATGATCCTGTAGCATGGACAATGTGAGCTTGCTAATTTTTTCCTATGTATGAAGACTTTTGGGATACTGTGTGTGCATGTGTGTGTGTGTGTATAGTGTGCCAAAAAATGCACATTTTAAGAAAAAAAAATTAAAATTGTAACATGCAATGTATACTGAACACAAAAGATGAATACAAGTCATATTGGGCACCTCTTGTAATTGCAGAAGTCAAGCGTGACTTGACTATTACAAATTTAATACAGTTTTTTCCTTTCTTAATGTGTGTACATTTTTTGTGCCCTCTGTATATATACTTTTATTATGTATTATTATAATGTATATATTTTTATTTTATGAAGTGTTAGTATAATGAACTCTCAATATCCATTGGTAAAATGAGCAGACCTGGAGGCTGTCAGAAGTACATATGTTTTTTCCCAAGACTCCTTTTCATTTATTCTTCCCCTATTGTCAAGTGATTCTTCCCATTGCCATCTGTTGATTTCAGCTTTTTGTTAGGTTTTCAACTCAAGACCCTGTAATGGGAACGAGTTTGTTTAGGGCCTGGTGGGAATGGTGAGAACTGGTCCAGTGTGGCTGTCGTTTAGTACATGTGGATGAGAGGTGAATGGAACATGTACATTGTAATTGACTACTTTATTTTCCAAAGTGTCTTTTCTGTAAACCTGTGTGGCCATGATGCGCATCCTTTTTGAGTTGCCCTTCCTTGCCGCCTTTTCCCCACCTAACTGCTCTCCTTATTCTCTTTTTCTCTCTTCCTTTATTCTTATGTAGGCCTGACCAAAGATGGCAGTAATGAAAATATTGATTCTCTTGAGGAAGTCCTTAATATTTTAGCAGAGGAAAGTTCAGATTGGTTTTATGGTTTCCTCTCATTTCTCTATGATATAATGACTCCTTTTGAAATGCTAGAAGAAGAAGAAGAAGAAAGCGAAACCACAGATGGTGTTGATGGTACGTCACAGAATGAAGGGGTTCAGGGAAAGACTTGCGTCATACTGGATTTACATAACCAGTAACTTTGATTCAGGGACTGAAGTCATTGGCCCATAAAACCCTGAAGTGGTCTCTTTTTCCTTTTCTTTCCTTTGCTTACGCAGGGCTTACTGTGCAGTGGGGCAGTTGTGACCTTATGGTCCAAGTCCACCGTGTGGTCGTGCCCAGTACAGCCACTCGCTAGTCCTGTCCCTTGCTCTGCTCCCCCACGTCTAGTGAGGAGAGTGGCCTTCCTCACTCCTGTAGCGTCTGCAAAATACAGCAAAAATGATGTTCTTAGTGGTATAATTGGTTTCTGTATCATTTTGTTTCAAATTATGTATTTACTGAACTAAATTTGGAAACTTAACAGTAGCAAATTGTGTTGTGGTTTAACCTTTGATGCTTGTCTAACACTATTAATTAAGATGATTCTAACAGACTCACAAAAATGTTTCTGGCATGATAAATAAGTCAAATACTTCTCTGTTGATCTCTAACATGACTGATGTATAAAATGAAGGTTCTTTTAAGAAGCTGGTATTTTTACTGTGATTTGTTTGGGTTCACCAACTTGTCAGATAGGTTCATACACATTTCAATGTAAAATTCTGTATTAATGGTGCTTTTAAAATAATTTAAAAATAACTTCATGTTTTGCCTTAGGGTAGTTAAATTATTGTATTCAGATAGTAATATAAAATATTTCTGTCTCTGCAAACAAGATTGATTTTTAATTTTATTTCCAAATATACATCCAGAAAATTTGTATTTTTTTTAAGTAGGCATATTACACAAGAGGGGAAAATGTGAATATGTATCTTAAATAATGTACATATTAAAATTATTCGTCCAAAATAAAGTCTTTTTTCATTTTTTCCTTCATTAATTTATTCACTGTCATTTTTTGGCTTATATATTATATGAGTTTTAGAATTAAAAATTAAATTTATTATTTGGCAATAATAATTTTAGCAGAATAATTTTTTCCCACTAGAAAAACTTATGAACTTTATAAACATCTTTAAATCTGTTATTTTAAAATGAGCTCAATATTGCTTTAATAATAATAAAATGCATTTCTTAAAATGAGAATTCACTCATTTCCTGCTTAAGTAAACCTTTAAGCTTGAAAAGGGACAAGACCTAAGACCTTTTGGTTTCTCACATTCTTTGAAGAAATGTTTTTTGTGTTTTTAAATCTTTTTTGACCCTTTCTAAAATTTTTCTTGGCTTTGATTCCCCATAGAGTTTAAAAATCTGAAAATCTTTGCATTTTTTTACATTAAACTATAATATCTACTTTTCAAATATTCCTTGTTTTTCTATATTTGATCAGGTTATTTTCAGTAAGTTCACCATTCATCTATTTATCCTGAGGGAAATAGGACAAATTTAATTTTTTGTTTTGTTTTGTTCTTGTTGTTAGAAATCACTGTTGTAGTTTATCACAATGATAGCCTGAAAGTGAAAGTATGAGATTGGAGGCCAGGACATCTGCATCCTCTGCCCATGGCTCACAAGTGTTGGGTGATTGTCCAAGTTGCTAATCTGATTAAAAAATAAACATTCTGTAGCTACTTTTGGCTATGGATATGCATATGTTTCATTAGATAGTAATCTCTTAAAGTTTAAGTGGCTATTAAAACTCCTATTTCAGGAAATATATTTTACTCTGTTAATGTTTCTGACAATCGAAAGCCTCTGATTTTCAAGTAATCAAGCACTGTCGCTGAGCCATCCCTTAGTATAATGTTCTGCAGCAAATGTGTATCCTGTAATAATGTTCTTTCTGGAAATTTCTTCAGCCTTTGTCTGTATTTATTGTGTCTTCTACTTTGAATTTGAGTACTGTGAAATATCAGAGTTAATTCAAAAGCATTCTTAGGCCCACTCAGTGAAATTCACTTAGCCAAGTGTGTAGGACGTATCTTTAAAAGCAATTCTACTAATGTGTCATTACTGCTAACATTAGAAGATATTTGATCATTTATTAATGAGAAGTAAGTAAATTTGTGTGTCAAAAATGTTTCAATTTATTTCTCATCAGGCTTCTTTTTTTTTTGTCATGATACTAATGCACATTTTCTGTACAGAAATTAATTATGCTTTATTTTTGTAATTGAACAAAAGAATGTGAGATAATATTTTGCCATTTGTTTTGTACCACTTCTGATCAGCCCCTTAGAAAAGCCTTTGATGGAGGGAAAAATACAAACAGCTGATGAACCCCTGACTTCTGTGACTTCCTTCAGCTTGTGCCTAATGCTTTTGTGTGTGTGAGAGAGAGAAAATAAAGTTGTTTGCAAAAGGGTGATATAAAGTATCTTGAAGCTGATCAAAATTATTTTGCTTCAATTTTATTTATAATGTGTTATAATTTTCATTTTCTAAGGGTTTATTTTATACCTTTCAGTTTCATAATAGAAATGTTTTTCTAGCTCATATCTTTTAAACTTAGGAAATAACTTAAACAGGCAAAAATGTATCTTTTGCATTTGAACATTTATTTATAGTTGTGGAATTTTGAGCCACATTGTATTTACTCTGTGGTTTTTCAGTTTTGAACAAAGAAAACCTGCGACCCGGGGGCCTTTGTGTTGAGACGTAGTGTTGTCTCTTCAGAGTTGCTGCTCTTGCTTCTTGGATACACTGACATTTCATTGACTTAAAAGACGCTGGGTTCTCTGGAGTTTGACACAAAGACAGGGCGGTGACACCTGGGGAATCCTTTCTGCACTTTAGCTTCTTTTAGCCCTGATTTTCTTTGGGACATGAGCGGCGTGTGTCAGTCAGTCTGAGAAGTGTCTTCTGGGTGCTGAGGCCTGCCCCCCTGCTGGCTGCCCGTGGGGATCCTGCAGATACCCGGGTGCTCAGGACACAATAGAATGCTGCACTGTCCTGCTTTTTTGTCTTATCCTTGATTCTTTATTCTAGAAATTACTTCCCTGTCTTATAGAACTATATCTAGATCTATACAAGAAAAACATTTACCTATTTGATTTCTGGTTTATTTTTACTTGGGGTTAGGTAGACACAACAAAATGTTTCTGTGTCTGTCCTGATGTGTGTAACCTTGGGGAATTAATCTACAGCAGATCAGCCAGAGCCAGTTATTCTTAATTTGATCACTTGGCAGTTACACCTTAGAGCAGCATTCTCAACCTGTGGGTCGCGACCCCTTTGGGGGTCTCTTGCATAGCAGATATTTAGATTACGATTCATAACAGTTGCAAAAATTATAATTATGAAGTGACAACGAAAATAATTTTATGGTTAGGGCTCACTACAACATGAAGAACTGTATTTATTAAAGGGTTACGGCATTAGGAATGTTGAGAACCACTGCCTAGAGGAACTGATGCTCAATGGTGTCTTCTAGGTAAGACTCTGGGCTACATCCCTAAGTCTGTAAAACATACAAGAATTTTTTTGTAATTTGGTTGTGGAATCTTCTTGGATTACAAAGCATATTTGAAACACTGTAAGAAACTTGGTGACTAAGACTTTATTTTCATAAGTTGATTGGTGGAATAAGTATGCTAAATTTTCTGCCTCTATTATTTGATGAGATAACCATGTTCTATGTAATCTTTAGGGGTAGATATTAACTTGCTGGTGGACTCCTTGAATCTGGGAACCAGGTCTTAGGCTTTATTTATTTATTTATGACCTTTCCAGGGTCTCTTTTGTATTTGAACCTGCGTTTCACTTGGTTCAAACACACAGTCTCTGGGTGTAATCCCTTTCTGCTTTTTCTGTCCCGTTCTTTTATGTTCTGATTCTCCCTTTCTACTTACTGTGGATGGTTGGTAGGTTTGTAGTGTCCTCTTTTTTTTTTTTTTTTTTTAAGAAAAATTCTATAGTATTACCATTACATCTATTTCAAAATAAACAGGGAATTGATGTGCTGTCATGACATGCACTTATCAAGCATAGACACCTTTTCTGGAGCAACAGTTGGCCTGGCTCACAGGACCATTACTTGGACATGTGGGGCCTCTTTTTGCTATGCATAGTTGATGGTGAAATGACTATGATGTTCCCATATGGGAAAGAAGAAGGTGAGAGAGAAACTGAGGCTCAGAGTGAGGTCTCGCCACCATCTGTGAGAGTGACTGAAGTGATGCGGATGTGAGGTGATGTCCACACGACCAATTCTAAGGCCCCCTGCACGTTTGCCGTAACCACTTGGTGTCTGTAATGGAGGCCGTCTTCTTAAATCATGTCCAATGCATGAGGTAGCAGCACACATCCAGCCATGGGCTTAATGATTCCACCACTTTAATTTTGGAGAGAACATTTCATTTTGTAAATGTTGGTGGGGTAGTGGCTTTGAAGCAGTTGACAAAATAGCATAAATTACCTTTAAGCAGTTTATTCTTATAAGAATGTAAGACCTGCTCTTTTCAAATTTCTGTGTGAGAATTTTCAAATTGTTACAGAGCTATTGGTAATAGTCACCTTAAAAACCATCAGAATAAACATACAAGTGTGAAAGGGGAGCGAGATATGTGGTTCCTTTTGTGCCATTTCCTTTGACTTTAACCACATCCTGATGCCTCTTCCATGATGGCCTTAAATTGAAACATGTTCTACCAATAAAAACAACAGTTAACTGGATGGATCACAGAATACCAAGATGCTTCCTTTTTAGCTCTAATTGATAGAATATTCTCCATACTACTTGGAAATTATTTACAAAGAGTCATTGTGTTGTCATGAATTTTAATGTTAGATAGAATTGTTTCCCACCCTGCCTCAGGCACTGGCTTATGGTCCTAAAGAGAACAAAGGAGAAAAAGATGAGCATGCTTGCTGGTGAGGGCACTGCTGGAAGAAGTTATAAATGGTAGAGCTGCATTCTGTCAAGAATTAGGAAGAGTAGGAAAGTGGGTCTTACACATGGTTTCCTCAGAGGCCTCCAATCCTGTGTTTGTTTTTTCTCCACATGTTGTCACCAGCCCTGGATGGCACTGACCGATTTCCCCATCACCGCACTTTACATTGAGGCTGAAAAGAGTGTCTTTCT